AGTCCTTATGTCTCCCATTTCTGTCGTTATACAAGGTGGTGCCCCATAGTTGGCAGTGAAGTTGGTTGATGCTGGTTTATAACTCCAATCTCTAGAAATTGTGGTAGACACTGCGGATTATAAACCAAGTATAACTGGGGGCATCACCGAGCGCAGATCTTTGATTTCCCACAGTTTCGCATTCCGTGGCCTTGGAGTTTTGCGCTGCTCCGGTGTCCTTGGCGACTGGACATGGACTTGTTCTCTGTTGACTAGTCAGTTAACATTGCAATAGTGAGCAATAGTGCATGTAGGAACTGTTCAACATAGACTTGTTCTACATTGACATTGCAACTTATCACTGGACTTGTTCTACAGACCCATCATATCTATATCCAGGATGCACAAAACACTCACTGTTACTGGGAGCCCCTGCTCTGGGGTGAAACCTGATGGACGTTTCAAGGTGAGTTGGAGAAAAAAAACGGGGCACAACGTTGGTTGTGCCACAGCAAGATGCGAAGCTCAAAGCGATGCAAACTGTTTCTGGTGAATTGGCTCTGACATGCTAGTCAAAGAAGTAAACATATGTAAACATGAAACAAAAATACCATTGGTACCATCAATTACATTCAATTACCACATGTCATGCGATGGACATATCATGTATTGAAAACACCCATTTTCTCAAAAATCGCATCAATCATCGCATGCCTACCGAAACAAACGGTTTGTCGTTTTAGGCCCGACCCACGAAATCTGAGGCCCCTAGCAGCTGCCGGCCGCGGCCCATGGGCCGGCAAAGCGCGGACCTGGAGATTTCCCCAGTTGGTAAAAGTCCAAAAAATTGAAAGGCGATGTATCCCTAACGTACCTAAAATTAATACCCATTAGGGATACATACCCTGTTGGTAATATACTAACATTTTAATTTACTACTGTAACATTTTACTATTAATGGTCTTTCTATGTGTGGACTATTTACTAACAGTTACCCCAAAAAAATCCCAAGGGCCCATGGGTATGAATTATCCAATCATTCGCACAGAATGGGCCCGTGTTTTCTAGAGATTTCCAGTCTTTTCTTTGCGAAGCATTGGGTGACAGTACTTTGGGAATGCATTCCAGTTGGGAAGTGGAGAAAAAAAAACGTATTGCAGGGGTATCTCTCCTGTATACCTAGATGAGATCTTCCGACTATCAAAAGTGTATGCCTTTTCCCAAAATGGCACAAATCTATGCCATTTTCTCGGTCATCTGATTTCTTTGACTAAACAATGCCTGTGGTGCCAAAAAAAACATGTGTTGCGAAAGTACAATGCAACCAAGGCCGGAAAAACAAGTCGCCTTTGGTGGGGAAATGTCGCCTATTCGAAATGCTCTTCTTGAGTTTTTCCAAACAGAAAAATCACTGCAAAACATTGCAAAATCATGAAACATGCCTGACGTTGGGCAAAATCGCCGTTCGAACAAAAAAGGCACATTCGCCCCCAAAAGACAGAACAAAATAATAAACAATCATGAACATGTAGATATAGGTGGGTTCGAATATGGTTATTGCCCACGTAATTAATTGGTATAAATTGGGATATATTGGGATGCATATCCAAGTAACAATATATCATCCCATTTGGAAAACACTCTAGAGGAAAAGAACGTCAGTCAAAACCGCATACTTCAGCCTACCTTTTCTAATTATCAGAAAATATGTACATACAGTATTATAGCCCCATGAAATGAAATGGTCACAATCTAGTAAAAATCGTCACTCTACCATTTTGATCCATTTTGGATTTCCTGCGTTTTCGATGTTTTCAGGATTCCTCCCAAGCACTTCCGCGCAAATCATCGCATTCCCTTCCCAGAATTCTCATGGCAATGATGCACCTCCGCACCCCCACACCCCCTCAAACACATCAGCGTGCAAATCCCCAATGCTCCATCGTGCTGGACTATTTCCCCCACAATACAGCGCCTTTTTTTGTGGATAAATATTTCATAGATGGAGCATATGTGAATAATCCATCCTTCTGTCGGAGAGGGTTGGATGTATTTGGCCTAGTTGTATTGAAGTATCACTTTGTCTCAAAAATCGGGTAGCCAAAAATCCCATGAAATCATTATATTTCCGAATCAAATTGCAATTTTGAAGTTTCCACTGGTTTTCCGGTTTTCCCTTCAAAAACTCTTGCTCAAATCCACTAACTGCCACCCCACGTGGCGTCTCAGCGCCCTACTCAACGGCGAGGACGAAAAAAGCGCTTCCACGTCGCTCTGCCGTTGCGCCAGGGATGCAGCCTGAGGCCCCCCTAAGCTTGAAAAGTGGAGAGAATATGGGCATCCGCAAGAACCCCTTGCCTAAATATATCAAATGATTTGGGGGGATTGATGATTAGGGATGATCTGTGCAAGTTCTGACCGTAGGTATCATGAGACCAAGGGCGAAATGTTTTCCACTCCATTGCGGGGCAGAAAAGCAAGCAGCTTTCCGCACCCTAAATCTCAGTGTGAAGGTGTGAAGCATCCCCTTCATCTTCTGTATGCCAAAATGAAAGATAAAACAATACAAAACAAATCTCATCACTTTGCTAGGCACATGCCACATGCGTGCCACTTTCATCCTCCAAGTGTTTCCCAACTATTTGTTCCCAAAAGGACAAATAGAACGTGTCTGCAATGACCTGCCCCTACTTACATGATCCCTGACAAATTGATGTGACTAGTACATTTGGAAAAAAAAGAGAAAAAAACAAAGAAAATCATCTGATCCCACCTATTCAATGGATGGGTTTAAGGGAACATTTACAGGAAAACCCCATAACCTTAACGGGAAAATCTATGGTTTCCGGTTCAGATTTTCCATTATTTTCCCTTAAACCAAGCCATTCACGTCACTGAGATCCCCAAACCGCTGCGTAACGTGCTGCCAATTTGGCTGCGACGCTATCATCATCCTTCGGAGAACCACGGATGTTGTCAACGTTGAAGGTTTTAAGGATTCCGTTGAACATTACAAGCGCACAAATAGACAAGGTCACACCCATATGCAACCCATGGTGCTGGCATATTTACCTACATAACTGGGTCATTGATTAGGGGTAAATGTTCGTAAATATTCCAGCACCATGGAGCATCTGGGACATCACTACTTTTGGTAAACTTTAGTAGTGCGTCTGGAACAAAGGGTCGTTGTTGATCCATCTGCCCGAATGAGAATCTACACTCTGTCCTAGCACACGATATCATCTCTCATCATAATCAAATGTAATATACTATGATCTCATAATCTTATGATATTTTGAAAACCAAATATAATTATACCTATAATATTACATAACTACATGAGCTTATATATATATATTCAAATGATACATCAGTTGCAAATGCTCTAAATGAACATTTCAGATATGGCTTCTTTCGCGTTGTCTCCGCCAGGAAGGTCCGTTTTCCGCCGTCGTCCGTTCTCGTTCCACGCAGCCGTGAATCAAAACACCAGCGGATGTCATGACCTGGTGGACATTGGTACCCTCTGGTAAACATACAAAAAACTATGGTAAATCACCATTTTTAATGGGAAAACCCACTATAAATAGCAATTTTCAATAGCTATGTTAAATTACCAGAGGGTAGATCTGGTGGACATATTTCAACATGATCTGGCTGAAAATTGGTAGATCATTTTTGTAGATTCAACATGATCATTGGCAATTTTCAGACTGGCTGTGAAGGGATTTCATGGTTACAGTAAGTGGGATATTAGTATAGATGTAATTGGGATGCGGAGCCAACACCAGGAGATATGGGTTTAGCACGGTTTAACTAAAAATGGGGTATACCTCCAAGTAGCCACTTTAAATTAACCTATTTAAAACAACACTATTAAATTTCCGGGGTTGCATGCTTTCAGACAAACCCATAAGCCCTATAAGCCCTAAAGATCCCCAAAAAAATCAAAACAATCATATTAGATCTGCCTATTCTATGCTATTCTGGTGGCTGGGCCACCTCTTCGATATAAAAATCTAAAATCATCCCATGTCTGCAGTGCCATGGTGAGATTGGCCGCACCCGAATCATCCAAGGAACGTTGAGGGAATCCACCCCTTCAGCCATTCGGACCTGGTGAAGCAGCGGAAAAAAAACCATCCACCAGGGCCATAAGGTCTTTGGAGAAAAAAAACTAAACGATAATCAATGGCATTTGGGAAGCGTAATGTAGCAGTGGTTCAAGATGTGCACAGCCAAGAGGCATATCATGCTATTCGCGATTTTCACAAATTCTTGAAGAGAAACAATCGAGAATAACAATATATTTTGATGCACAATTTATGCACAGTTTCAGACCTGACCGTGGACAAACCGTGGAACGACCTATCCAGGGCGTGGAAAGACCTATCCAGAGCGTGGAACGACCTACCTAGGGCGTGGAACGGCCTACCCAGAGCGTAGACAGGCGTACCAGAGTTGTCATTTTTTTCCCTGCTACAGCAAAATTTGGGATCCCGCCCCCCAAAAAAGTGCAACAATCTGGATACTATTGATGGCACAAGAATTCAAAAACATACAGTTTTGAGGCTATTTATTATATCCTTGGTCCTTGTTCAGGTCTTTTGTTGTGTATTGAGGTTTTAGGCAGCGACCTATACCCGTTAGAACTTGTGACTGTTGGGGTATACGGTATAAATATATATATATATATGTATATATATTTGTTTTTCATAGTTATATATATATATGTATATATATATTAATATATATATATATACATAGTCTGTCTTGATGCCGCATCAGCTTTCCGCCCTTTGTGACCTCACTCTCTCTCTCTCCAAGTCCGCATGGCGACCTCCAATACCCTCCCGTAAAGTACCATGCTTAAGTGGAAAACCCACCGTTTCTAGATGATTCTCACCGCTGGAAACCAAAGGAAACCATAGGTTGTTACACGTGTTCCACATTTTTTTCAGATTTTCATAGGGTTTTCACAAGTTTTCCACATCTTTTTCAGGTCTTCATTAGGTTTTTCACAGGTCTTCATTAGGTTTTTCACAGGTTTTCCACAGGTTTTTGATCCGTTTTCCCCCAGGGTACACTTCAAAGTCCAACGACATGGCCGCCTTCAAACGCCCTTGGCACACGGCGCGCACTTCGCGGCGCACGCCATGGTGCTCCGAACCCAAAACCAAGGCCCAGCGAAGAGGAAGCTGTGGCACCTGGTGGCGGAATTCAGTTCGGAAAGTCATCAGATGTCATCAGAAAATCATATGCCACGTATGCCATGTATGCCATGTATGCCTTAGCTATGTTAGCTAAGCAAATGATAAATAGATGATAAATCTCAACTTCTGTCATATCCCAGTTTTTGGAGTGGGATATGTACGTTTAATCCATTTCCAGCTGGGATATAACATGATAACCCCAAGTTGTAGTATAGGTATTTGTTTTTCTCCATAGTGCATGTTAATCCATGGTATTTGTTAGCATAGTGATACGTAGTTTTACCCATTGTAAAACAGCATGATGAGTTATTCTTATTTTTTGGACGTGTTTATTAATATCACTATATTTGCTGACTATCTCTGTAGGTAATCATCCCTCCCAAGTCGCGGGGGCCTGCCCTCTAGTAAACATACAAAAAGCTATTGAACATGGCCATAGAAATAGTTGATTTACCCATGAATAGCATGGTGATTTTCCATAGTTAATTTAAATTTCCAGAGGGTAACTATCACAAACTCAATCGCCACCCATCCTATCGACCGTTTGTAGCCAGAAATCTTACAGCCATTGGCATGCCACTTTTGATACTTGGTCTTACAGGAAGATAGGTGGTCATTACTCCCGAAAGACATTCCCCAATTAGTGGATTTCCCAACAAATACACTATCGTCTTCAACAAATTCAGGTATATGATGTATTCCATTATATCCCATTAATCACCATGTTTGATGGTTAAACCCCATGAATAGACTATTTCTAGCCACTTTATAGCCTTTTTGATCGTTTTTGTAGCCATTTTCATGCCATGTTCAGCACCACGGGGTGCGCCTCATCTAAGAACTTGGCCTCTTGCACGATGGCTGCCATGGTCAGCACTCCGGAATCGTTGAGCTCTTGGAGCATTGCCACCTCACTGGGGGAGGCTTTCATGTGACCTGGCCATCATGTATCAAAACATGTGTATGTATATATATATGCACAGTTATTTTTTATTTATTTTTTAATATGCACTAAACACATATATACATATACTTCATACGTACATATTATATATTTGTGTGCATATGTAATATGTATATATATATATATTGCATATTGTATAAAGTCTTCTTTGTGTTATATATAATATGTATGTGACTGTATGTATATATGTACATGCATGATATGTATGTATATCAGGCACATCTAATTTTAATCATTCATATGCCAATGAATAGGATGCTCACCTACCAACATCTACCAACGTATTTCACTATATTTTCACTATATAATATGCAATTATGTGTTGTGTTTTTGCTTCTTTGCCATGCCCAACTGCGTATGACAACAAACTCACACCCCAACCGCCCCAACCATCATTTTTTCTCAATGGTGACCTTTGCCTGGGCCTCTTTCACTCGGGGATTCGCATCTGGTTGGATCGCAATCAGCATGCCCAAGCTGCATAGGTTCGTGTCCACTGAGTAAAACTGAATTACACTGAATCTGATGTTGTCACTTCAAGTAATCATGTTATTTCATGTTCATATTTCGAATTTGTTCGAATAATTATGAGCCAAACCATGGTAAACCACCACTTAAACATCCCTCCAGTGGACCTTCCGCCTAGGTACCAAATCACCTTGGATCAAGGGGACGTGGAAGACATGGCCTGCGGAGACTCTGATGGACCGTGGCGACAAGGCATCACAGCAATCCGAGGACAGAAGAATCGCCGTGGCGCCAAAGGCAGCAGCCACCTTCCTTGTGATGTGGCATCAAGTCAAAAAAAAAATGATATGCAGAGTCTAAGTCTATTCAATTTTAAGGGCTGTCGAATTGGGTTTGTTCTAGGATGTTTGCATCTTGAAAAAAAATAGGGATGTCCAAAGATGAGTCAACGCAAAAGAAATACCTGTTATGTGTAAATAGTATACATATATATATATTATATTTTATTTAGGTACATATTAAATAGATCTCTCTCATATTATATATATACATATGTCCAATGCCACTATATTATATTCCATTATTACCAGGACCATTCTTTCTCAAACATGCTCTGCGCACATACAAGAATCAATGTGCACATATCGTGCATATCGTGCTACGTATCGGTACATATGTATATGCGCCGCCCGGAAGCGAAAAAAACAACTATTATCTAAATATAGATGTGAAGTATATTACCATCTGGTTGTTTAACATAGCCATGGAAAATCTCAATTTTTAATAGGTAAACCATCTATAAATGGGCCATCTATACCATGGCTATGTTAAATAACCAGAGGGTACAGTAGTACGGTACTACTGGAACCGATGGAACTTGAATGTGGGGTCTGTCCGAGGTGGCACAAAGGCTCCAGCAAAATGATGTGTATGCTTACTGGTTGGTGGTTTCAACCCCTCTGAAAAATATGAGTTCGTCAGTTGGAATTACTATTCCCAATATATGGAAACATATGAACAAATAAAAAATGTTCCAAACCACCAATCAGTTTATATGTTTCAAGTAGCCAGACTCATCACTCCGTAAACCAAACTATCAGCCAGGGACCTATATATGTTTCACTCCGGAACTGATAAATTCATTTCAGGATGTTTCAGGTACAGACCATACCCGCCCTGTTGAGAATGAACATGTGCAACCTGCAGACGGCCGAAGTTTAGATCATGATTCTCCTGTTGGATATGGCCGGTGGTGCTACCCAGGCATCCACCTAAATCTGCAACCAGCAAATCATCTGAAAGTTCAAATGCTACCGAAACCTGTCAAATGGCATGCACTCTCACAGAATTCCACCAAACAAATCCATGTTTTACCCTCTGGGTAACTAACAGTTTGCGAAGTGGAACAAAAACACCATTCAACTATTTCTATGGGCCATTTTCAATAGCAAACTGTTAACGTTTACCAGAGGGTATCATGGCTGGAGAATTTTGAGAAATCATCTTCACCGCCATCCAACTCGTTCATGGAATTCCCAGGACAGTCTCTGGGTTAGTCCTCCCCTTATGAGTGGATTGCATACAGCGGTGAGTGACTACCCAATTATATAAACTCATCTTAAATTGCTGCGCTTAACCCCATCAAAATCATCAAACTAGGTCAATCATAATCATTTTTTTGAATAAATATGCAATTCATGTCAACCCCGGATTAATAAACCATGGTTTATTAGGGGGTACCCTCCAACTAGTGACAATATGGTACATAAATGGTACCCTCCCAATTAAACAGCCTAGGGTTTATTAATCCAGGGTTGACATTATAGGTAACATCAGGTAACGATGTTAATTCATGACCAAATCTGACCTGCCGTCCTCCCACCATGTCCAACCGTAGTCCCCTTCACCGCCATCTGGCCACACAATGGTCCCCACATTGGAGGCATCCGTGAGCCCATCCAGCGCCACCAGCCGCAGCGATGGGGTCACTTTGTTCACCAGTCGCGCCAGATCCACCCGATCCATGGGGCGACGGGCCAAGGCAAACGCCAAGGTCTTGGACTTGGCCAAGGGCACAGAAATGCCGGTGACGGCCTCGCGTTTTTTGCTTTGTTGCCAATGGTGGGGATGAAGATGGATGAAGCTTAGGGTATAGGGATGAAGTTGGACAACAGAGTCCTTGTTTATCAGAAGTTTGGTTTTGGTGGTTAGTTCTGGGGTCCAAACAGTTGAATATGTTGAATTGCGGACTGTGGTTCCAAAACATCGAACCAAATGTGGCACACCTGGAGTGGAGCAGTGCTGCTAAAAATCCCCGATTGGTCTCCCAACCCTTTGGCAAAAAACAAACACTCCGGCATCTATTTTGGTCCGTTTACAATGCCACAAGTATACTGCTCAATTGAGATAATAATCTCATAGATTCAAATAACAAAAAAACACTTATAGCAGCCCACCAAAAATTATAGAAAAGTCAAATCCCTGTCAACTAGTTAATTACAAGTTTTCCCACATGCTTTATTTGGATTTTTATGAGATTTTACTATAACTAAGGTCCCATCAATGGGCAAATTACTAAGGCCCAAGGGTGCCACTCGGCAGCCTCCATCATGGCTAGCTCACAGACCAGCAGCCGCGGTTTCTGCGGCTTCCCTTCGAGCAACTCCAGCAGTTCTGGGAGCCTTGGGTGCAGTGGTTTGAAGGGAAAAATCTTGGGAAATGGCGAGGAAATGATTGGGACATATATCTAAAAAACATTGGAAAAATTATGGTAATTATATTGTCATATATTTTCTAGGGAAAAAATATTGGGAAATGACTACTGACTACAGGAAAACCCTTGAAACCAGAGATTTTTATGGTTATGAAATGGGGGAAACAAATCCATAAATGTGGTGACTTCACTGACTTATAACTGGTAAAGAGCCATAACTACAGGAGATGTTTCCCTGTTCATGTTGAACAAAATGCTCAAAGTCATGTGCAAGCCAGATTCGTCTCATGAGATCCTAGCTCAAAACCATGAACTCCTTCAACGTTCGCTTGTGGATCCTCGCTTGAAATAACCCATTGAATGGGGCAATTGAATCACCTCAGGAACCCAACCGCATCTCTATTCTGCACTGCATTTTATGCGAGATCATTTGAGATCCCACTGGCGTCAACAAAAATCAATGGCCCAAAGCTGCCGGGTTGGTGCATGGAACTCTGGTTGGTGGTTGACCTACCTCTGAAAAATATGGAAAGTCAATGGGAAGGATGGCATCCCATATATTATGGAAAAAAAATTGTTCCAAACCACCAACCAGATTATTAACCATTATTAATTAACATTTATTAACCATTTTATAACCATTATATAACCATCATTAATCATTAGGAATTAATGTGACTAACCCAGAATTGGTTGAAGACACAATTTGCAGGAAACCAATCCATTGAGCAGTCACAAGAGTCGCAAGGATCTGCTGGGCACAATACGACCCGCCTCAACTCGCCTTGTAATAAACTCTTGGAGCTCAGTTTGGTGTACTTGGCCCAGCAAAATGGATATGTTCAATGGGAACATGTGTTTTTCCCTCAACCAGTTGTTGCTGTTTTCTTTTCCAGTTTTTTTCCAGATACCAAAGCCCACTTCGAAATCTGCCTAGGACCCCAGCTGCTACCCGGCTGACATAGGGCCCAAGCAGCATGTGTCTTTGCAGCAGCACTTCGTTACAGGTGAAGCGATCACTGGTCAGCAGCATCTGGATGGCCTGGGAATGTTAGCTGAATATGTAAAAATTGCTGGCTAAACTCATGCAACTATGTGTAGAATATGTACATGTATAACATGCAAATATACATGCAAATGCACATGCATCTGCATATTTATATACATATATATATATATGGATCAAAGTGACCATGACAGGGTCTGCCCGATCAATAGATATCAATAGTATATAGAGGAAAGGAACAACACATGATGCTTATTCGCCTCATGTCATTTATGTCATTATTGCCGTGGCAAACACAAAAATCAAGCGCACCAGCATGTTTAACCAAAGAAAAAGTAAGGGTCAACTCTAAAGGGCTTGCAGTCATCAATATCACATTGGATCAAACAAGTACAAACATGATTAACTCCTGTCTTGGCTGACAAAAACGCCAATCATCAACCACAAAACAAATTGTCATTGGGGATCATCATCCCCCGACTTGGCAATTTGAGTTCGATGATTTTCCAAATGTTTGTGAAACAGCCAACGTTCACTCTGGTAAAGCTTTGAATATAGATGAATATATACATACATACAATAGTAGAATTGGATGTATCCCATTGAAACACCATTAAACCCCATTGAAACATCATTCAACCCTTAAACCAAAATTCAACCCAATGTTTCGCCACACTTTTGACATGGAATCCCATCATTCCCCCATCATTCCGCCTCAAGGCCCTCCACAAGCAGCTGATCTGCAAACTTGCGATGCTTCAGGGAGCGGAAACCTGCGACGATTTCTGACCCCAGTGTACCTTTGGTGACCCCTACCATCAATGATCTAAGCCCAAGCCATAAGGGGTGAACGAGCCAATCATGAGGGATACCCTCTGGTAATTTAACAGTTTGCGAACTGGAAAATGGCCCAGTCGAAATAGTTGATTTACCCAGCTATAAAATGGTGGATCTTTCCATAGTTATGTTAGTTTACCAGAGGGTAAACCTCCATGTTCCTATCGTTTTCCTATGATTTTCGCATTTTCCTATGGTTTTCCTATGGTTTTCCTATGGTTTTAACAAGGCTGTAACAAGCCATTGGATGATTGGTGGCTGTGCGTAGCATTGAATCATCCCCCAACATCCAACAAGAACAAATTGTGAAATCATAAGCAAAAATAATGATAGTCATCATTGTCATCATAACAAATAATAATGATATAATAGTATAATAGCAATAATATATATATAGAGAAATATTTTTTTAAAAAAAAATAAAAACCTATATATATATATATTAATATTATTATTAATATTATTTTATGTATTCTGACATTGGACATTGCATGTTTGGATGTTCCACCTTTCCACGATGTTCCACGTCTAACCTTGTGTTTCTTTGGCTTCAGCTTGGTGCTGTGCTTCCCTGCTAATGAATCAAAAACCTCAGTGTACCAGTGTACCATGGTGGGCCCCTAGCACTTCTACTCTGTGATACCCATTTGGGGGGTTCCGAACATGGGGATAATTACCCCAAAATGTATTTTTTCCGCCTTTGACTTTAGTGCGACAGCGGTAGTGACAACCAGTTACGCGTGAAATCCCCACACTACCCCCAATAGCTGGATGGTTTACAATGGAACATCCTCTTGACATAGATAATTTGAGGTACCGCCATTTTAGGAAACATCGATTTGTATACCTTGCGATTGAAAAGCAGTAGGCCACCCAGTCCAAGGATAGCCTCCTTCAAACTACTGTTGATCGTAGCACAGTTCCATGTGGTTTCCCACCATGAAAGTAGATCACTCTCCGTTGCCAGGTTTCCCGGCCCATAGGGCGGGAACCACATCTACCCTCCAGCAAACTAACATGGAAAATCACCATTGTTCATGGGCAAATCAATCATAAATGGTCATATTCAATAGCTATTTTGACATCACCAGAGGGTAAACCTCCATTTTCCTATGGTTTTCCCATGGTTTTCCTATGGTTTAACGTTTCGCCCAGGGTATCTGCCACCTTCAAGTTGCGCATTGTGCGCGTCAGCAGCAGCCATGGAGCCATGAGCCACGGCGACGAAAAGCGGTGGCTTCGGAGATGGGGCCAGTGGATGGTTCCATAAATCCGTTATAAATGGAGGTTTTAATGGGAAAACCATGGGAAAACCATAGGAAAATGGCAAAATCATAGGAAAACGATAGGAAAACCATAGGAAAATGGGAAAATCATAGGAAAACGATAGGAAAATGGAGGTTTACCCTCTGGTAAACATACAAAAAACTATGGAAAGATCCACCATTTTATAGCTGGGAAAATCCACTATTTCGACTGGGCCATTTTCAATAGCTACGTTCAATTACCAGAGGGTATGAACAGTGCAAATGCAACCCCTGGTTTGCAATTCAAAGTGCTATTCAAATATATCATAATTTATGTATTGAACTGAACATCCCTTAACTGGGCATCAATCCCACCTGATATGACTGGCCATTGTTGCTTCAAACTTCGTCATGAAATTTGTGTAGCTTCAAATAGCTTCAATCATTTTTGTGGGCCATTGCCAAATCTCCTGCTAGAAAATCATGACGGCGCGGCTGAAGTTCTGTTGCGAACTGATTTGGGATCGTCTTTGTCGGTTTAGCAAACGTTACCCATCGGGTACTATCTGTCGCTATTACCCTCTTCAGTTTGTGAAATTCTTCACCTATACTGGTGCTAAACGCAGGGAGTGAGGAATGATCCACTGGCTAACTATCAATAATCATCCCAGCAACCCCCAGCAACCCCCAGCAACCCCCAGCAAGCCATCCATTCCCTACGTAAAACGCACCAGTAAGGTGTGATATGAACATCGCTGTTCAACCAGGTCAGCTGGAGCGGGACCCCTGGTGATTCACAACAGTTTGCTATGGAGATGTGGTCTTCACCCATGGTCAACCTGCAGGAAAATGATCTACTAACACAGATGGGTGAAAACAACCACATTAACTATAGTTACACTGGAGGGTAGCAGTTATATCAGTTATGGCATGTTGAGTTGTACTCACTTAGATTCACCTGGTTGCTTCGATTTTGGGGCTTCAACCAGCCTTTTCAACCAGGGTGAACCCTCCGCATCCACCGGCCACAAGCCATGCGTTCGCGTCCTTCATCCATGGCAATGGACGGCCTGGGGCAACAGAAAGGCCATCACATACAACAGAATTGCGTAGAATTGCGATATACCACCCAGCAAAAGATATACAACTTAGATTTATAACGATTTATAAACTTACTATATGGTTTTCCACAGGGTGTCATAGTTACTCGTCGATCTGTTGGGGGCTGCTATCAATAGCGCAAAGCCGCGCTCAGCAGCTTAATGAAACAAATTCCCCTGTCTTGCAACGATCACTGCAAATACTAAAGACCATTTAGATCCATTTATGATACCGTTTGGTTATTTAACGTAGCTATGGAAAATCACCATTTTGGATAGGCAAATCATCATAAATCCTCTATGGACAATTTTCCATAGCTATGTTAAATAGCCAGAGGGTAATTATGGATATTCAAATTTATCTGGGTAAATTATAATAATTCACTAACCTGAATTAAAGCCATTTTGGGATGATTCCCCTTACTAGCCATGATTCCAGGGCTCGGTCGCAGTGAGGTCGTTATAATTTACCCAGATTTATGGATATGGGATAGAGATAGAGACATCCATTTATGGATACTGTATACTTCTGATTTACGGATCACAATGAAGAGACCCTTCAATACAGCTTGTTCCAGTGAAGCTGAGCCATGCTGAGCCGCCCATCCAAACAAATATGAGGACGCCATATTTGGCACCCCGCACCTACAGGATGAATATATATATATATATAATTAATATAATATTCCTATGGTAATCCCAGCCTTCAATACTGCCAAAAAATGGTTTGAATTTAAGTATTGTTCATTTCAGTCCCGCAGGTATGCCCAGCGTCTTCCTCGGGGCTAAGGAGTCAACAAAATGGTCATAATGATAGGGGTTATACTCTAACTTGTGGGAGGCTATAGCATGATATACTCTCCCCATCCCTCCCCCAAATTAACATAGATCCTGCCAAATAGGAGCTTGGAAGATAACTTTTCACTGAAAATGGTCGGAATTGATCAGGGTCGATGTGAATTTACTAAGGTGTAACCATCATCTTTCCATTGTGTTCAGCCCAGCCTTTGACTGTGGATGTTTTGCCACGCCGGTAGGAAATCCCGCCGTGCCGATCCATGGCACAGCGGCACAGCGGTTGGAAATCCCGCGGGATGGACGGCGAATGATCAAGTTTACATACTTGGCGTGTGGTTCTGTGATTACCTAAATTTAGGTTCTGTGATGTAGCCTGTACATTTTGTTGGCATCATTCCACGGATTTTGTCTTCACATCCGCAGTGTGCTTGGAAGAGGTTTGGGTTTTCATTGTCATGGAAATTTGGAAAGCAAGAAATATCATCCATTGAATCCATCTTTTCCATCTTTTTCCATTTTTTCCCTACGAAAAAATTGCCACGACTCTTGGGTCAACACCAAGCTCCATGATATCAGCCACCAAGCTACAGCTGGCTCGGCTGGTGGTCCCCAGATCCCAGCGCTGGAATGTGGATCTAGAAACATGGGCCGAAAAATCAGGGCTATTTCACATTAGGGAGATGGAGATGGAATTATCGTATATAATTATGTATATAATCATATGATATTATATAATACAATATCCTGTTTATCATATTGTTACAATATTATCATATTATTACAATATTACAATATTATTATCATATATGTGCAGGCGTATTCTGGCGTCGAGGACAACTGCTGAACTTATACTGGCCTTTCAACTTTGGAATGCAATGGAAGGTGGCTTGGTAGATCATCTGCATCTCGACGTTGCCAAGGTGCTTGCGCCACCAAACATCATCAAGTAATCACCCATATGCAACCCATGGTGCTGGTATATTTTACCTACATAACTGGGTGATTTTGTTCGGGCAAATGTTGGTAAATATTCCAACACCATGGAGCATCTGGGTTATGAAATTTTCCTGGTAACTTGGTACTCTATGAAGTCCTGTTCTTTCGCGTGGTCAAAACGGCGAAATTGGCAAAGAATGTGTCCTGGATCTTTCTGAACGTCGGCTGATGCCGGAGATTTACCCATGTCAGGAATCAAATCCGGGTTTCCATAAATTATGGAGATACCCCAACATAGTTTGTTTATAATGGACAATCCTATTAATTAACATGGATGATTTGGGGGTACCCTCATGACTTGGGACACCTCCAAATCCTTTTTGTGAAAGAAACATGAGCCACGCTACACACGAGCCTTTAGCCGTGCTGTCAGGCTATGTCAAAGAACCGCTGCCCACCACTTCCTTCCCAGCGTTTCTCGGCGGAGAAACGCGCCCAATTATAATATGTTCTTTTATGTTCTTTTAATTGTCCGCACTCAGGTTGATGTATGATTATGTATGCTCATGTTGGCTACCATCACTACATATCATCATCAGTATTGTTATCATTGACTGCTATCATTTTTTGTAATGGCCCAGAGGACCACATGGGGTGTAGCAACTCTCACACCCGAGTCCAGTGACCCTCAAACCCGCCAGTAGTGATTCTGTGCAGATCTTTGAAAATGTGACCAAGATCTGTCACATGGCTTTTACACCATCTTGAATAAACCCCCAAAATCCATCACAACAGCCTTAGCAGCTTTAAACATGTCATGCCAGGTGTGGAAGGGCAGCAGCTGTGCGAGCTACAGCGCAAGTCACAAGTCACAACCGCACTTAGCTGAAAGTCACCAGCGATCTGCACGGATTGGATCCGTTTGGATCATGGTAAAAACATGTTGAAACAAAGGCGTCAACAGTGGGAAAGCAACACTTCATCGACTTCATCCTGATCTTGCCAATAGTCTTAAGGATCTTGCTGGGACGTTTAGAGACGGGGCGGGGAGCAAAAACTCGTCTTCTGCGTTTCGTTTCATATCGTTTCATAGGTGGGACTCCACTGGCTTCGCAAATTACAGTAGATAGATGATAGATGTTCCAGCCATAGCCAAAATATTGAGTATGCCAAATCTGATGGGGATGGCTGCCCTTTACATGGCAGCCAGTTGCAACTCTCAGGGATTGTGACTCGAACTTGAGGCCGGGGGTGGATGACGAAAGCTAGCGGGGCAGGAGAAAGAAGGAAGGGAAGAGGTGAGTTGCGGAGGGACTGTCAGCATCGTGTCGCGGCATTGTTCGTCCCAACGAGGATGCAACAATGATATATTGATATATGATATATAACAATGATATATATGGGGGAGGGGGCAGGGGGGGGCCCTTTCGCGGGAAAAATCACGTGATGTCCTTGGGGAGCCCCGGAATACGTGCTAAAGCAAGAAGACTCTAGCGAGCTGACGCTAGCTTTCGTGATAATGACAATAATTGCCAATAATGATAAAATGTAATTGAATAACGATGATGATGATGATGATGATGATGACGATGATGATGATGATGAATGATGAATGATGAATGATGAATGATGAATGATGAATGATGATGATGAATGATGATGATGATGATGATGATGATGATGATGATGACGATGATGATGACAATGACGATGACGATGACGAGGACGAGGACGAGGACGACGATGATGATGATGATGATGATGATGATGACGAGGATGATGATGATGATGATGATGATGATGACGATGATGATGACGATGACGATGACGAGGACGAGGACGATGACGACGACGACGACGACGACGAGGATGATGATGATGATGATGATGATGATGATGATGATGATGGACGACGAGGACGAGGACGAGGACGAGGACGAGGACGATGGAGAGGACGATGACGATGATGATGACGATGATGATGACGATTATGATGATGACGAGATGATGACGAGGACGAGGACGATGGAGAGGACGATGACGATGACGATGATGATGACGATGATGATGACGATGATGATGATGATGGTGATGTGGTGATGGTGGTGATGGTGGTGGTGGTGGGGGAGGGGGGGGGGCCCCCCTTTCGCGTGAAAAATCACGTGATGTCCTTGAGCAGCCCCCCCAATACTTGCTAAAGCAAGAAGACTCCAGCTAGCTGACGCTAGCTTTCGTGATTATCGCCAAGGACTGCAGGTTCGCTACACCCTTGGCCCTGCATCCGCGACAGGTAGCCGTACCCACTTGGATGTACCACAGCCAAACTTTGCAGGAATCTGCATCGATCATCCCAGTGGGTCCTGGCCCTCCTGGCCTACTGATCCATACTGATCCTACTGTCTTGCCGGGCAAATGGACTTGATTTAGCTGGCCCGAATTCTGGCAAAACACATCAAAACACCATGTCTTCCCTCAAGAAGAATCAGCTCACATCACCCCACCGCTCTATTCACCCTTGATATCCCTTGATTTAAGGGTTTCTAATCGGCTAAGCATCCCCCTTGCCACCTAAAATCACATCAGTACGTACCATCTGGCCTCATGGCCTCATGACATCTGACCTTTGGCTCAGCATTTTGAGTCCAGCCAGCTGGGTTGGAGCAGCAATTACGAAGCCCCCAAAGAGGGACGAAAAATGTCACAGTCTGCGTATCTGCCGCACAGTCTTTGAACCAACCACCTGGCTGCTGGTCGCTTGTTGCATGTCCCCATAGTTCCCCATGTGGCATGGGTAACCCTGAGTGTCTTCCAGCACACGGAATACAGTTGGTGATTTTTACCCACCAGCTGAAAGGGCCGGCTACACAACATGACAAAACCATGGGTGGACAAACGATTCAAAGTAAGTGTGACATCCATTTCATTGAAGGTGGAACTACGATGCTAAGTATAAGTATAGCATGGGTACCGGGTTTGTTGACTGTCTCTCTTCCTAACAATTCAATACTCAAGTTTGAGGGTACTTGACATATAAATGGATCAAATTGGCCTTTCGCTATCCCACACGTACCGTGCACCGTGCACGGCAAGTCTCCGCAACACAGTCATTGATCCATCCACCAGCCTACACGGCAAACGCTGAACTTTCCCCCTGCGGCCACCGCTTTTTCAGACATGGTCGGACACAGCTGACCGCTCAGCCGCCTCAGCCGTCCACGTGGATTTCGCCCGTGTCATCGCCTGCCGGTGCCTCTTTGGGCACCACCACGGCGCTCGCCGCAGTCGCCGCAGTCGCCGCACCCGACACTGCCACTGCGGGTGTCGCGCCGCGGAGGAGTTGTTTGATGTCCTGCAGCTCTTGGCGAAGGCCGTTCAGTTCGGCGCGCAGCAAACTGTTGTCCTTGCGTACAACGTCGATGACCTCAGCTGAGATGGCTGAGGTGGAAATGAGGTTCTTTAGAGGCTTAGGCACACTTTCGGGGAGGAATTTATCTTGGGAAGGAGTAGCATTAAAAAGTGCAACCACATTCAGGAAATGTGTGACAGCGAATACCTCCAACTACACGTATAAAAGAATGAATTAATTATTAATGAATGAAACTGGTCTTTAATCCCCGAGATTTACAATATATCAATATCAATCAATATCAATATTCAAATCACATCTTGCGGAGATTTCAAGAAAGCAAACTCACAGCTAGGCACAGCTTGGACATCCTTGGAGCCCGTGACCTTTGGCCAAGATGATTCCTTGGGTGCTGCAGTTGTCAATGGCTCTGCATCCAGCACAATATCCGCAGAGCCTGTGGTACTCATCTGCTCCCCTGGAGGCAACGGCGAACGGGTGGAGATGTAGATCGAACCAAACATGGCCAACATCAGGAGAGTTACCTTGGTGACGCTTGCTGGGCAGTGGACCCCATGGCTGGGGCACTTTAAAGACCAAGACGACCAACAAAGCTGAGGCAGGATTTGCGGCTTCACTGTATCCGATAGTGATTCCTGGCAAGAATTGTGACAGAAAGTGTCTTACCAGTCTTCCCCTCTTTGGACATGCAAAATCATCCGCCTTTTTTCAATCCCCCAGACTCCATGTCTCCGCCCCAGACCCCCAACTTCTCACTACAACATCTACTCCAAGGCACAAAAATGCCGAAGGCCACCCTTGGCCTCTCCTTTGCAAAATCCTGGGCCCACGCCATCCATGCAGCCAGCCGGGGCCAATTTCCAGGTCCATGGATCCTGCGTTTCAACTCGGCCAGATCCACCGTGCCGCTGCCGCCGCCGGGCCCACTCTGTGCAGCCGTGCGCCGCGGCACGTTGGGGTCGAAATCGGACTCCTCGGGGCGCGTGGTGCGCGGCCGGGCGCCGAGGATTGCCTGCGCTGTGGAAGGTTCCGAGAGCAGATCGAAGTCATCCATGGCCAGTGTTGTGTTGAGGTGCTGGGTGGTTGAACTTTGTTGCTGGTGATCATTCTTGATCCCAGTGTTTCTTGCACTAACACCAAGATGACTATTTGTGGCTGGAAATGGTAACTGCTGAACCAGAACTGCAGCAAAGAAACATGGGGAGATTACACATTTGAATTGGGCTTTCATCCACTGCAATCATGGGCATTGCGGGAACGTAGCCATCGTCAAAACTGTAAAGAGTCGCAAGTCTCTCTGCCTCTCCATGCAGAGACATGTGGCAAACATTGGCCTATCCCAGGAAAATCTACCGCTAAATGACATGTACGCCCGTTGGTGGTGTGCATGGTTTTCTTTGATTTAACTGTGACATATCATGACACTCACTTCAGCACCAAATGCCCTAGGCCTCCTAAAACACTTGATAACAGTTGGCAATGTTGGTCCAAACCTAGAGGCATAGAAGAGGCCAAACCGTCTCATCACCCCAAGTCTGGCAACAGTGCATCCCAAAGCTTTCGCTTGCCCCTGGGTCCAACCAGGAACCGCATCTTGTGCCCATCTGAACCTACAATGAGATGCCCCCGAGCCCTTCCAGGGATCAGAGAATGACCCCGACCCTCGAAGTCATCAACTTGAAATCCAAGGAGATCTCAATTTTGCCCGTCTTCACCTGGCCGTGTCTATGTGCCATGAATGGCAGGCAGGCAACTGGGGAAGATGGAAGATGCGGTGATGTCAGCCCTTGTTGGCCGTCAATTCCTTAAGACACCGTCCCAACAGCGTTGACCAATCTATACCTGGGTCAACATTGGGGTACACCAAGAGTTCGTTGGTCGCTATTACATGTGGCCAACCATTTACGGGCTGGAAGGTTGTTTTTTGCATAAGGACGTGCCTAAAACGCACATTTTCCACTGATTTGGGAAAAAATGCCACAGAAAATAAAGGATTGACCAGCCAAATAGACATAAAGATAGTCCAAAACGACCCACTTGGGCTCCAGATCTGTGTTGCGTTGCGAAGTTTCCATCAGCCCCCAGGCCCTGCCACACCGTCACACGTTGTTGTCCACCGCTATGGTACTCTTGGAAGAGTCGTTCTACCTGTGCGGTGATTCGATTTTGAGGTGATTTTGGGCACGTCCCATATGGGTCTAACAATGGACATACCCTAACATCACCAAGTTATGGCAATTTAATGAGAAAACATATCCCATATGCTCCATGGTGCTGGTATATTTACCTACATTTGGGTCATTTATGGGGTAAATGTTGGTAAATATTCCAGCACCATGGAGCATCTGGGTATGTGATCATATTGTGATCGGGCGTCAAAAGCCCACCTGATTGCCACTGATTGCCAGGTAACTTCCATTTCTAGCAGAAATATGGAGGTTTCCTCCTAAAATGGTGGTACCCCTAAATCATTCATTTTAATGAAATTTTCCATTATAAATTATAAACCATCCATTTCTGGGGTACCCCCATTTATGACTATTTATGGAAACTCCCATATGATTTTCAAGACTTCTACTTCTGGTGTTCCGAAGGAGCTGCGGAATCATGAAAACGCCCGCAGTCAGGCAAAGTCACCTATTGAGGCACAAAAAAACATATTTGCCCGAAAATGCAGAACAAACAATGAACAATCAGGAAATGCCAATCTTTCAACGGTCTTTGGGCTTCTAGATGACTGGGTCTGGTTCCCCGGCTCCAACAACCATCTTTATCTCCGTTGCAGAAATGTTTGTTACCCAGCATCTAAAACTAATTGCATTCTGGGGACCCAGTTTTGACATCAGACATGGATGGGTCACCCTCCATTTTATGGATCAATTTGTGCAAAATCTTGCGGTTCTTCTTCTTCCGCATGCGTATTTCGGTTGTTGTTACCTGGGGAGTGAAACTCACTGAAGCCCCAATAATTATATAGTGATTTAAAATCCTCAAAAGACAACCCCAGTGACTCGGAGGCGCCCATATACACATTTGACACATGGTTTGCCAACATGATCCAACATGGCTTCTCAAAGTGGGTCATACTAATCCCCAATAAACCATGGTATAGCATGATACCCTACAATAGCCAATCAACAAACATGTTTGCTCACTGCTTATCTGGGCTTTAATATATTTCGGCTACCAAGTATTGGAGATGATGTTCTGTAAGTTGTCACCGGCAGATTACTCTCTGGTAATTTAAGATAGCTATGGACAATCACCATCTTACAAATATTTAAAATAGGTATATCATCCAAGTAATTGGGCATTTTTCATGTTAATTTACTGCAGGCTAAGTTGTACTAAGAAACCTTGACCCAGTGCCCTGCACAGCGCCGCGTGCCCCCAAATTTTCGGCCTCCCCTTGACAGTCGTCCTCAAAAGCCTTGAAAGCACCTCGGGCCTCTGGTTGCCAGCTCTACCATAAACAAATGCAGCGCAAACGAATGTCGGGGCCTTGACCTATTATACAAAAACACATTAGTCAAATTGATGATTTTTTCCCTAAAACATAATCCCCGAAATGAAGTTTGGATTGGGGGGCTGTTTGATATTAGATTGAAAGGATCATGATCTGGATTCTGAGCCCATGAACATATGAAAAAAACATGTGGAGTCACCTTCAGTAATATCTTATAATCACATCCAATAAAACTGTGTATAAAATTGTATAAATGTATAATCCTCTCTCTCTCTCTCTCTGTCTCTGCTACGGTAAAATCATGTAACATCCGCATGTTTTCGCCTCACCGACGCCTGACACCTTCACCCTGGCCTCGTACTCCCAGCGCCCTGTGCTGGCTGAATCCTGGCTGAAGAAACCGAACATGGCAGTACCGTGTTCTATGGAATAATATGACATATGACATTATATATACATTTATATTATGACATAATTGCAACACATTGGGTAGAGTGGGGTAGTCTATGTGGACGCATTTTGAGGCATTTCTCTTGCTTGACAAATGGGTTTGTTTTCTGCAACCGGCCTCGCAACCAGCCTCATCCCTGTTCCCTAGGTAGCTGGATCTCATGCCCTTGAGGAGTTTAGGCTCTGTACTCAATTATGGATACTTGATAATAACACTTATCACATATCTGTACGCATAAGAGAGCAAATGCGATATGCAATCCTTGGCCAATATTGGCCAATCTTAGATAGCCAAAAAAATCGCTGGCTATACTGTTATAGCCGCCAAAAAATACCCAACTAAATCACTAAACTTAAATTAAATCATCAAAATGAACATTGTGATAGAACACAGCAAAACACATAAACTCAATAAACTATCAGTATTCTTCTGACATTTGCCAAGTCCCCAGCCTCAGACACTCCAATGATGTCTGGGACTGGGACCACGCGCCCCTGACCGAGAGCTAATCGAGCCAAGGGATCCATTTCTTCACCAACGACATCTGGTGCATGGTCCAAAAAAAAATGAAGGTTTTAATGGGAAAACCATAGGAATACCATAGGAAAATGGAGGTTTACCCTCTGGTAAACTAACTATGGAAAGATCCACCATTTTCTAGCTGGGTAAATCCACTATTTCTATGGTCATCTTCAATAGCAAACTGTTAAATTACCAGAGGGTAATATATTTTCTATATCTGTATGCATATCCTGCTCCAAACACCTTCTGAGACTGTATGTGAGCTTGGTTTTGGGAGTCCAAACACCTTCCAAGAGGGCATTTGGAGAACTAGGGTATATACATATAGAGAGAGAGAGAGAGATTGAAACCATTGTGCATTTATTGACTTGTTTACTTGCTCATTTGTTTGCACAAAAGTATGCCCACCTGTGCTCCCTGGCTGCTCCCCATGTCGCTGATCTGGGGACATCGATCGCGTCTTTCTGGGTGTAAATCGAACAACTGGGAACCCCAGTTGGGTACTGCGTCTGAAGTTTGACTCATACCCATCTGGTTTTGACTAACATAGCCATGGAAAGATCCACCCATTTTTTCATGGGAAAATCATCTATTTCTATGGGCCATCGAAAAACCATGGCTATGTTAAATAACCAGATGGTATCTATCTATCTATCTACCTACCTATCTATCCATCCATCCATCCATCCATCCATCCATCCATCCATCTCTATATCTATATCTAATCTATATCTATATCGATCGATCTATCTCTCTCTCTCTCTTTTCCTATGATTTCACTCTTGGTTTTCCAGAATTCATAGGAATAGAGAAAGATCATGAAAACCAGCACTTTCAAAAGGCACTATGATTCCTATGCACTATGAATTCCTATGCACTATGATTCATGCCATTCATAGGAAATTCCAGCCTCCAAAAGTTCCCAGCACTTTCCCGCCTCGCGAACAGCGGCATGACCTCGGGCCACATCATCCTATTGGGCCCGGCGTGCACAAATGGCTATAGGATTGGTAGCCAGGTCAATTTATTGGGCCAATTTTAAAGAAAGATGGTTGAGACTAAAAAATGTGGTATGTATATATATGTATATATATATAGTTATAAGTATATATATGTATATATGTATTACTATCAGAAACTAAACATTGTTACTAAATAATGTTTGATGGTATAATACGGTATAACAGCCACTTTTGATACTGAACATTGCTACTAAAATCTCTGGTCCCATGAGGCGAATAAAATGACTCATCCTCGCATGTTCCCATCATTTCAAGCCTCCAAAATTACTTCAGGAGGTCTCCAAAATAGTGCGTTACGATATATATATATATATCAGATTGTGACTGTGGTATATAGAATTCGGGGTGAACTGAACAAATCAGGGTGAACATTAGTCCGGGCAAACTACCATAACCATCCATAAGTTGCATAAATACTTGAGAAACCAAATGCAATCACAAAAATTACTTTACTTCGTGTGATCCCCACCATGACATTTATACATTTTCTTACTGGCAAATCTTCTGGCATTCTATCTGACATATCTTCTGACATTCTATTTGGCATTCTATCTGGCATATCTTCTGGCATATGATCTGGCATATCTTCTGGCATTCTATCTGGCAAATCTTCTGGCATTCTATCTGGCATATCTTCTGGCCCTCTATCTGACATATCTTCTGGCATTCTATCTGGCATATCTTCTGGCATATATTCTGACATATCTTCTGGCATTCTATCTGACATATCTTCTGGCATATATTCTGACATATCTTCTGGCATATCTTCTGGCATATCTTCTGGCATATCTTCTGACATATCTATCTGGCATATCTTCTGGCATATTTTCTGGCTTCTATCTGGCAAATCTTCTGGCATTCTATCTGGCATTCTATCTGGCATATCTTCTGGCATATTATCTGGCATTCTATCTGGCATATCTTCTGGCATATATTCTGACATATCTTCTGGCATTCTATCTGGCATTTTATCTGGCATTCTATTTGGCATTCTATCTGGCATATCTTCTGGCATATCTTCTGACATTCTTTCTGACATTCTTTCTAACTTTCTTCTGCACGTTCTTTGTCCCATATCTTCCTACATGAGGTCCGGCAGGGAACACTTGGCGTGGATACTCGCGGTTGAGGTCCGGCAGGGAACACTGGCACGGATGGTCGTGGTTGAGGTCCGGCAGGGAACACTGGGCGGGGATGGTCGTGGTTGAGGTCCGGCAGGGAACACTGGGCGTGGATGGTCGTGGTTGAGGTCCGGCAGGGAACACTGGGCGTGGATGGTCGTGGTTGAGGTCCGGCAGGGAACACTGGGCGTGGATGGTCGTGGTTGAGGTCCGGCAGCGAACACTGGGCGTGGATGGTCGTGGTTGAGGTCCGGCAGCGAACACTGTGGATCGCGAGTCGCAGTTGAGCAGGAGGACGAGGAGGACAACGAGAGGAGGAGGACAACGAGAGGAGGAGGACAACGAGAGGAGGAGGACGACGAGAGGAGGAGGAGAGGAGGAGAGGAGGCAGGCAGGAGAAGGCAACTTAGATAAAATCTAACAACCCTCACCTGGCAGGTGGGGAAATATTACAAAGAGTCACATCATTTAGAGTGATGTCATGCTGAGGTCACATAGACGCTTGTCCAAATGACCGTTTCTGTCATGACGAATTCCCGTTACAAGAAGCTAAGTGCAGGCTATGATCAAGTGTAGTATCTGTGCATATGCGGCAGACATCTTGTGACATTTGTAGGCATTTTGAGTTCAAGAGTAAAAGGGTGCCCTTGCAACTTGCGAGGGTTATGAGCCCAAGTGGCACCCCATGACTCCTAATGGAATGCGGCGATCATCATCGGTGCCACCTAGCAATCCTTTCTGGAGTGATAGAGCCCAGGGTGAACATGTTCTACAACACCTACGTCCTCTGAATTTAGATGCCCATTCAACACCGATACCCCAAGATGATGACTTGGAATCTCCTAGACCTCTGCAGGGTGAACCAAGCGGTCAGCAGGGTGGGGAGTTGGGAGAGCAGACGGCGCCGTTTGAGACGCCTGGAGCTGCGCAACCTGAGAAGCCTCAGAGCATGGTGTTGGGTGAGACTGAATCCAATGAGGGCACGAAGGTAGCTTCAATGGAACGTGGTCACGATGAGGACACTGGGAAGAAACCAGAGAGGGCATGGAAAAGGAGGGCACAGGGTGGTGTGACCCACAATGATGAGATCCATGGAAAAAATGAATGTGGTGAAAAACGCAATAGTTCAGTAGAAGATGAACTTGGTGAACAAGTGCTTCAACATTTTCAACAGGAGACGGCTAGGCTCCAGAGTCAGAATGACAAGTTGATGAGAGAGATTCAACAATTGAAAGAACAGAAAGATCAACAGTCTCGACTGGCTGCTCCGTCGTCATGGGTTGGACATGCTAGCACCTTGTTGTCACCACCTAGAAAAGCACCACCTACACATGAAACCATGGCATGGATGTCACCAGAGTCTTTCAATTGTACCCCAAATGGTACCCGGGTTCCCAGCGGTCCACCGCCGCCTGACCCACCGCCACTTCCTGCGTGGCCTCCTGAGCTGAGCAACTATGAATGTGCGTTGGAGCCTCCGAGAAAGTTCAGAGGAGTCTTGGGAGAGGCAGCATACAGAGTGGGTGGGGGAGCGTGCACACCTAGAACTGCTAGGAATTTCTGGTTGGAGCAAGAGGTGGCATCTTTGAGAGAGAAACTGCATAGCGAGGCGATGAGGTCAAGGTCGTTTCAAGGTAGTTACTGGTCCAGACCTTTTCAAACTGAAGCTGAGAAAGCTAGGGATGATCAAGAAGCTGTCACATACATGCGTCGAAATGTTGCATCTGGAATGTCGGATGTGTTGCATGGTCAGCGGCATCGTGATACTGAATACCATCAAGATCGGGCTGATGCTGCGTTAGTGTTTGGTAGTCATCTTCTTGAAGGTCGGGCAGGTCCTGAGCAGGCCTTTGGTGATCCACGTCTCCATGCAAGAGCTGGCCCTGAGCAGGCCCATGGTGAATCCCATCTTCCGGATCGGGCTCACATGGCATCTGAGCTTGGAGATCATTTTGGAGGAGCTCGGGCTTGCAGCGTCACTGCGTTTGGTGATCAATGTCATGGAGCTCGGGCTGACCAGGCAGCGAAGCATGTGCTTGGTGATCAATGTCATGGAGCTCGGGCTGACGATGCAGCGATGCATGAGCTTGGAGAAGTATATCAACAAGATCGGGCTGGCATCCAACATCAATTGGGGGGAGCTCCACATCATAGTAGAGCTCTTCGGCAAGATCGAGAAGTGGTGGAGGATGGTGACCTTAAAGGCATTCCCATCCAACTACCAACTTTGACATCACCAGATGGAAGGGATGCAAGTCTGGAAGCTGGCGATTGGCTCATTCAATTGGAGCCGCTGATTGGAGATCTGTCGAAAAATGCAGCAAGCTGGTGGAGGAGGGTGATGGATGCGACGACATCGACGTATGCTCGTTGGCTACACGCTGATCCTCTGTCCAGGTTGAAGATTGCTGCCCCGGAGAATGGAGCTCTATCCTCTGGTTTTGAGCGTTTAGATCAGCGGGTGACGAGCCTCTTGCTGCAATCAGTGCCGAAGGCC